CCCCAAAACCCCAAAACCCCAAAACCCCAAAACCCCTTTAGACATGGATTTGAGGATAATAAAAGCTTTGCGAACGAAAATATATATATTTTAATACTTCACATTGAAAATTGTAAATATCACTTCAGATTTAACTTGTTTTTGGATGACCTGGTGTGAGTCATATATCCGCTTTAAACCTTTTTAATACCGGAAACAGTAATGCTGCTGATTCCTGATTTATAGTTGCTCTAGTTCTTAAGGTTTGCATAGATTTAAGAAAGTGTCCCTACTTTATTGAGTTAATCCTTTATCTATGACTAGACGGAAAAGTTTTCTTTCTTTGAAATTAGCGATTTATGGTATGTAGATCGTTCTTCAGGAGTATATGGATTGTCAAGTAGACTTTGATGTATATTCATTTTAAATTTGCGAGTTTTTGGTTTTTTCTCATTTAAAACTTTTTCCCATTATCTTAATTGATCATTTTAAGTAACTCTTCTTTCCTTACTATGCCTGCTCATATTATGAGAACTTGAATCGTATTAACCACCACTTTGACTATACTTTGAGCCTTTAGGAGATAACTTAACAAATTATTCAACAAGTCTATTAGAATCTTGCTTAGAAGTTGTTAGAACTCTCTCTTGAGGGCCATGATCTGTAAAGCTAAATGTCTAATGCTAATTCTCACTCATAAGTTTGAGTGAGGCTTGGGATTCAACTCTCTTTGGAATTAACTAGAATTTATTTTACTGCTTCGGACTGACAGGCTCAGAGGATATATTGGATTTAGTGGTTCTAGACATATTGTTTGAGGCAGCCTGTTTACCATAAAACCTGCTATTACGCTTTGTTTCATTACAATAACTCATATTTGCATTTTTATTATCTTGAATTTAGTCCAAATAATCATCAACCTTATCTCTTGTTGGCTTTATTTGAGATTAAGGCCTCTCTTAGTAATTATTTACTTTTGAATAAACCCTCAGAAATGGATTGCTTACTTCACTTTACTCTAATCGACTACTAAAAGTTGAAAAGATCTGGTTGCTTGTCTTATTCTAATGAGAAGTCACGTTCTCATTGTTATAAAGTTTTCTTCCTGATTTGCTAACCATATTAGAATCTTATTCATTGGTAGAATTCATTTTCAGTAAGTCGCTAGAGCTTTTAAAAGCTGAGTTTATTATGTTTCCTTTTTAAGCTTTATATTATGCTGCAAAGAGCTTTTCTTCTATTTCTTTAGCAATAATTTATTGGTTAGATTATCCTTGAGTTTCAATGATAGCTCCAACTTAGCTGATAAGATTTCTCTTCTAATTACTCTCTGATCTCTGTCTCTGTGGGATAGCATTTTCATACACTAAAGAAGCTAGATCTTCATCTGTGGGATTTATTGTTCTTTAGGCAGATTTACCGTATTAACCACATCTTTTTTTGCATTAAAGGTAGTTTTCAAGATTCCATTTTATAATTTGCGCTTGCTAATGAGATTGCATATTTATCCTATTGGGAGTTGCCTCTAATTGATCTGGTCCTGAGTCTCTAGCAGGGCTGAATTGCTTTTAAGAAGTCTTTCTTATTATCAGATATTGATTTTTCTGTTATGCTTATTAGTCTATAAAAGCCGCACTTCCAGGTGAAGTTAGCTACTTCATTGGAGATTAATTAGGCGAATCGTCATTAATAAAGACACTAGATCTGAAAGTATCATTGAATCTGATCTTCTATTGAGTAGCGTTTTATTATCAAGAGTTGTAATCATTAGCAAACGGAGCTAAGTATCTAGTTAAGCTTTAGCATGGGCTACTTGAAGCCTTTATATTATCATGCGATATAGTGTTTGTATGATATTCTCTGAGTTTTAGGGCTTTTGCGATTGACATTTTAATGCCTAAATTAAATTTTAATTTTAGCGAATATATTTACTTACATTTTGATTATCATTTCTATTCAAAATTTATGCAATTTATTCTCAAGGGGTTTTGGGGTTTTGGGGTTTTGGGG